GTTAATAGTGTCTTTAAAACAATTAAATATGGTTGTGTGGTTTAATATTCCCAGTTTTAGTGCACTGTGCAGGAGAAACCGTTTCCATTTATAGGGTGCTTGCCTTTCCCGTGCCGTCTGGCAATTCTTGTCTGACACCTTGGCACTGGGATCCCTTCCTTGGGCTGCTGGGGCGAGCACACAAAAAGGGTAATATCAAAAAAAAAAGCTATTTGTGCAGTTTTGGAAATCAAACGGCAGAAGTTGTAAAAAAAAAAGCTATTCATGCAGTTTTGGAAATCAAACGGCAGAAGTCGTTGGAATGGCAAATAAGGGGAAAATGTTAAATGTGGAATCTCAGCAAAAAAGGGCTTTGGGGGGCACGACCGGAGTTGTGATACGGTGGGGCTGGAGAGGAGCTGGTCCCTGGGGGTTGTAATGGTGATATTGGTGCTCCCGGGTGATGGTGGGACGAGGTCTGGAGCTGCTCATGGCACCTTCATTCCCCGTGATGGTGACATGTTCCCTGGGGAGAGAAGGGCTGCTGTACAGCTCACCACACAAGCCCGCAGCAAGGGACGGGGTGCCGTTTGAGAGAACATAACATTTGGTTCTTGTATGTCCCCGCTTTTGGGGTTGGGTGTTGTTTTTTTTGCAGTGGTGTGACTCCAGCCCTTCAACGGAAAGGTCTTTGTGCGTGGCCTTTGCATTGTGTGCGCTCACAATGCCCCCTACAATGGGGCTCCAGCCCCTGAATGGGACCTCAGGCATCGCCCACATGCAAATAGTAACGAATTTTAAAAAAACCAGGGGCAGGCATTCTTTTCACATGTATCCCGTGCTAAGAAACTGGTTTATATTGCCTTGGGTTTAACGATCGCTCCGTAGGCCTCCTGCATCTCTAATTGCTTGGGAAAAAAACAAAAATATATTTCTACTTTTCATGAAGCCAAGGGTTTTCATTAAACCTGGGCAGGTCGTGTACGCAGGAACCTGACCTAGGTCTGCAGGCTCCTCCTGCCCTGGGGGTGGTTAGAGGGGGAAGGAGAACCTCGGACCCAATCTTCAGTCCTTGAAGTTGACACCAAAGTCTTCATTCCCCGTGATGGTGACATGTTCCCTGGGGAGAGAAGGGCTGCTGTACAGCTCACCACACAAGCCCGCAGCAAGGGACGGGGTGCCGTTTGAGAGAACATAACATTTGGTTCTTGTATGTCCCCGCTTTTGGGGTTGGGTGTTGTTTTTTTTGCAGTGGTGTGACTCCAGCCCTTCAACGGAAAGGTCTTTGTGCGTGGCCTTTGCATTGTGTGCGCTCACAATGCCCCCTACAATGGGGCTCCAGCCCCTGAATGGGACCTCAGGCATCGCCCACATGCAAATAGTAACGAATTTTAAAAAAACCAGGGGCAGGCATTCTTTTCACATGTATCCCGTGCTAAGAAACTGGTTTATATTGCCTTGGGTTTAACGATCGCTCCGTAGGCCTCCTGCATCTCTAATTGCTTGGGAAAAAACAAAAATATATTTCTACTTTTCATGAAGCCAAGGGTTGTCATTAAACCTGGGCAGGTCGTGTATGCAGGAACCTGACCTAGGTCTGCAGGCTCCTCCTGCCCTGGGGGTGGTTAGAGGGGGAAGGAGAACCTCATACCCGATCTTCAGTCCTTAAAGTTGACACCAAAGCCACGTGTCAGCAGAGCTGGTAGCTGGAAGTAAATAGCAAACTCTGGTTTTAATGGTAAAGATTAAAAGAGGAAAATAAATAAAGAACTGAAAACAGAAGAAGAAAAGGAAAAAAAACAACCTCAAGCATTGTGTAAGGGATGTGTTCTTCACTTTGTGGAGGTGGCAAAGAGAGTAAATCAATCTGTAACAACCTTCTCTGGAGTGTCTTGTACCTTTTGTGAACCAGCCTGCATTGTTTGGACTATCCATACCATTCCCAGGTGTTACAGTTAGGAAAAAAAACAACCTCAAGCATTGTGTAAGGGATGTGTTCTTCACTTTGTGGAGGTGGCAAAGAGAGTAAATCAATCTGTAACAACCTTCTCTGGAGTGTCTTGTACCTTTTGTGAAGCAGCCCGCATTGTTTGGACTATCCATACCATTCCCAGGTGTTACAGTTAAGCTTAGTAGGGGCTTGTCTCAAAAAAACATGAATATTTGGAAGCTTGTATTAAATGCCATTGCAAAACCTTCCCTTCAGGTAATTTCTCTTGGTTCTATAGAGTGAATCTTCCTTTGGAACCTTGTATTAAATACCATTGCAAAACCTTCCCTTCGGGTAATTTCTCTTGGTTCCATAGATTGAATCTTCTTCTTTAAAGTTTCTCGGTTTGAATTCATGTTCCAATTAAAACTTTGCTTTGAAATTGTTTTGTGTTGCAGGCACTTCTGCTGTGAGAGAATGTGAGGTTTCGTGTAGACCATGTTCTGGAGCCTTTATAATCAGGTAATGCCACGTTTTACTGCCAGCTTTGGCTTTTTATTCTCATAAGTATTACTCTTACCATGCAAATACTGCTGCAGTCTTCATTCTGCAGAACCTGGCCCCGTGCAAAACGTTCTAGACCTCGGTGCCTTTTTTGCTTCAGAGACAAACCTGAAATATTCATGAAATATTTGTAGCCATCGTTTTGGTGCATCAACAGGAACCCCAGGGGTGCAGAAAGCCCAGCTGGTGGAGCCCTAGCAAGGATCATTTTAGAATAATAAATATGTACCAGATTTTTAATGGCTATATATAAGTGTACATGCATATGTAAACACTTATATATGTGTGTATATATATCAGATTTGAAATACACACGAGAAAATCTATGATTTCTTTGGTAATACTATGTCCAACCTTGGCTGCTAGGGATGAGAGACATCTTTAATTGGACTTTTGAATAGTGCCTTGATGTATGTCTGTTACATGTCTGTTACAGATACAGTACTCGGTCTTGTTTCTCATTAGAAATACCTGACAAAGCATCTAATTCCAACACCTTATTTTTGCTGTTTTGCAATTCTGTCAAACCTGGGTTCTTTACAAAACAGAGTATCTGCCCTGGCCCCCACGTCTGTCTTTGGTGCATCTTTGGTTTTTTGACGTTTAGAAACTTTTTTTAGCCAATTTGAAGAAGTTCCGCGACGTAGGATATAACACACAGCTTTACTGAAGGAGTGTTTTTAAGGTCACAGGAACAGCTTACCAAATGGTACAAGTTTGGTTTGAAGGGAGTTGCCCAGAGCTGCTTTTCCTGCAGCATTCCTGCGGGATGCAGAGGGCGTTGCTGACTCCAGCTCCTCCTCTGTATTCCCCCTTGCGGGGAGCCTGAGCACCTAGAACCATGGAGTGAGATCAGAAAGAGCCTGGCTTGGACCTCAGCTAGATAAAATGAGAGGAAATTAGATCAAGTAATGAATTATACCTGTAATTAGCTGGCTCAAAGTGGCAGAGGTTGTGCCAGTCCATCCCTTCACCGCAGCAAACAGAGGGTTTGCAAAGCGCTCGGGTGGGTTGTGTGGTACAGGAAAAACCACCAGGAAATCAGTGTTGTTTTCAGGGTTTGAATAATGTGTGATAAATAAGGCGTGAGGTCACGTAATGAGCATCAGTGAGGGAAGGAAGAGGTGGAATGGCTGCCCATTAAGTGAACGGGACCCGTTTTCCCCACTGGATGTGGGGAAAGTCCTGCAGGAGAAGTGCTGTGTCCTGGTGCTTCGGCCAGCACCCGGGTTTGACAGCTCCCAGTGGACAATCCTGACTCTGGGGCTTTGAAAATTACTGTCCTTAACGTACCTTTTAATGTATAGTTGTGTAGCCAGCAATTTGCAGCACCTTGGCCTTTCTCATGCTGAGCTTTTTTAAAAAGTGGCTTTTATACAGCGTGCAGCTGCCCGCAGTTACGGTGTGGGGGGGGTCAGAGCCTGCCTCCTCTATTTTATGAACAGAAATTACACCTGCAGTGACAGATACGTACCCAGGCATCCCCACTTACTCAGAAAAATTCCTTCTTTTTTTTGTTTTTGTTTGTGTGAGACCATAACGCAGCTCAGGACCCGTGTTCTCTGAAACGGCAGAGGTGGGCATGGTTTAAATATTCAAGATATCTCCTGAAAATCAAGGCTGGAGGTCTCCTCCTGCTCCGTATTGCTCACTCAGGTTGAGTAGAACCAGTATTTTCTTTTTGGTGTAGATGTGGTGGTTCCTGGCAGGCGGGTCAATTTAAAACATTATCAGAAGCGAGGCTTTCACGCGTTTCATCTGAAAACCTTTGAGTGGCAACAGCCTGCTTGTTTGTGGGAGATGGAGGCTGAGAGAAACGTGTTTTGGTGGGTCGTGAGGTATCACTGGTGGCAATAAAAACACCCTGATGGAACAGTATGATTTTAAATTGGGATCCAGCCGTTCCTGTAGGAACCACCTCCCATGACGTGAGATGCTCCTGACCCCTCTCTGATCATGGCTGAGGAGTGGGGCTGAAGGACTGATTTATCTCTGGCTCCTAAAAAGTATTTGTGAAATACTTTTGAGTATTTACCTCTGATTTACCTCTGGTTCCTCAAAAGTATTTGTAAAAGCATTCTGTTCCCCCTCGGGGACACGCTGGTGGTCACTCACCCACTCCTCATTGCACACCCTCAACTGAGTGTCATCTTCTGGGCAAAGAGCAGGGACCCAGAACGCACAGAGAGTGGGGTTTAAGATTGTTTTTGTCAGAGAAATGCCCTGTGTGAGGGGGTTTTGGTTCCTGCCCAGGCCGGGTGTCGCTGCCTGTTGTGTGGTGGTGGTGTGCGAGCTCCCAGCTCCAGCCTGGTGGGGTCTCGGGGACCTGGGACCTTTTGCTGGGCTGCCTTGGGTCAATAGGAAACATGGAAACTTCGGGGTGTTGTCACAGGCTTGGGGGGCTCTTCTTGGAGTCACTGCTGTGGGGCATGAAGCTGGTGTCCCTGCCCAGGTACCTGATGGGTGGGAAAGGTGTTTCTTTGCAGATAGACTGGGGATTTCCCTTGTCAGGCTCATGGATGAAAAGATGGTTGATGAGAAGCTGGCCATGGTGTGCTGGCAGCCCTGAAAGCCCCCCTCACCCTGGGCTGCATCCCCAGCAGTGTGGGCAGCAGGGTGATGGGGGGATTCTGCCCCTCTGCTCTGGGGGGACACCCCCCCCACTGCTGTCTCCAGCTCTGGGGCCACCAACAGCAGGATATGGAGCTGTTGGAGCGGGGCATGAGGAAGCCACAGAGATGCTGGGAGGGCTGGAGCCCCTCTGCTGGGAGGGGGGGCTGAGAGAGTTGGGGGGTTCAGCCTGGAGAAGAGAAGGCTCTGGGGAGACCTTGGAGCCCCTTCCAGTCCCTCAAGGGGCTCCAGGAGAGATGGGGAGGGACTCTGGATGAGGGAGGGGAGCCCTAGGAGGAGGGGGAAGGGTTTGACCCTGCAAGAGGGGAGATGGAGCTGAGCTGTGGGGAAGAACTTGTTTGGTGTGAGGGTGGTGAGAGCCTGGCCCAGGTTGGCCAGAGAAGCTGTGGCTGCCCCATCCCTGGAGGGGTTCAAGGGCAGGTTGGAGGGGGCTTGGAGCAACCTGGGCTGGTGGGAGGTGTCCCTGCCCAGGGCAGGGGGTGGCACTGGGGGGGCTTTAAGGTCCCTTCCAATGCAAACCATCCTGTGATGAGCGGAGGGGAGCGGTGAGGGGTCAGGGTGCCCGTCACTGGGGGGGTGCCCCCTCCCTCCACCACCACCACCCCCCCCGCAGCCCCTTCCCCTGACGTGGCGGTGCCCGAGGGCGGGGCGGCGGCCCCCGGTGCGCCTTTATCAGCGGCGCAGGTGGCGCTGCGCGGCGCAGGCAGGGCGCAGGCAGCGCGGGCAGCGGCGGCAGGGAGGGAGGAGGGGGGGGGG